ATTTATTTGTTTACAATTATTTGTGCGATAAGTATGAATACATTTTAAATTTATAATATAATATAGGGTAGGTGATTAATGTAAAAATAGTAACATTTATTTTGAATAATAGTTGGAAAGTTATCTTGGTGAAACAATAACCACGTCATTATAAAAATCCCCCTTTATTATCAAACAACGCTTCTGTTTATAAACAAGTTAACAATTTCACTGCAATTGCAGTTTGGTATTTATACGTTTTTAGAGCTAGTTTAAAGTAACATTAATTATATCTGGGGTTTAAAATATTTTTATAATCATCAATCATATACTATTGTAATTAATCCTTTGGACCAAGTCAATAAATATTAAACATCTAATCAATTTTAAACAGCACTTAAGTGCATGGGAAAGTGGCTTGTTGGATTAATGGCAAATTGAAATAACAAATTGCACAAGGCACTAAACACTTGCCTTTCTTACCACATGGGTTTCCCTGTAATCTGGGGAGAAAAGGTTCATACATTATTTAAACATATTTGAAACTAAAATCGTTGTAAAATTACTCATTGTAAGTGTGATTAATTATTTAAATATTTGTTACCATGCTTAACACATAACTATGTTTATTACAAATTAAATATTAGATAAATATTATTGTCAACAAATGCAATAAAGTATGAATAATATGTTATTAATTTGTAAACAATGTTTGCATATGTGCAACGTTAATTGCATTTTAATCATTGATTGTGCACGTACATTTAATACGCAAAAATCATCCAGATTATTTCCGTACTTTACTTTGTACTAAAGTTTATAAAGTTAAATTTATTATCAATGAGAATTATCATTAATTCACCAATCTGTTTTAATATGAGATTCAATTGAGTAATTAATACAGATTTATAGATTTCCAAGAATTGTTTTGTTCATAATTTTATTAATATTAAGGTATTGATATTACATACTGTACATAACTGTACCTCAACCAGTGAAAAATGTATATCCATAATGTGTATAATTTTTAACTAACGAAGTACTAAGCAATTTAATTTGTTAAATTTTAAATTATCAAAATAGTGGAAATTTTTAACTAATTTGAAAGTTTTAAATAGACAAGTTTGGATATATCGCTACATTCAAAATTAACTGGTTAAATTTTCCATAGTCTGTAATACAGACTCTGTATACCAGATAAATAATGATTTTACAATTAATATTATCTATACATCATGGATCCGTTAGACAACTTGATATTCTATTGTATAATTTATATGTTTAAAGTATTGTTTGTGATTTATTAATTTTTAATTCATTTAAATCATTTAAAACAAATTATTATAATGATTATTGATAATGGTCGTAACAAACTATTTAAAAAAATATATTATTTTAAATTTAAGAGTACCTTTATTTTGGGTTCATATTAATAGACCATACGAATCTTAATTTACAGATTTGCTCTATACAGTTTATTAAATATACAATACAATCTTAATTAAAAACATTTATATTGGAGCATCAGAAATAGTTAAACAATGTAATTAAATAAAGTTAATTACAATTAAAATTTATTGCAGTTTACTTACACTTACAATCGGATATACTTACAATCGTTAGATCTCAGATCGTAATATAGATTAGGGAATAAAAATAAATTGTGCGGTTGAGTTATAGCAATGCAACACTCATGATTAGCACGAGCACTGTGTGAAACACCATATTTCAATGCTATACGCCGTATACGAGATCAAGATTTCAATACTATTGTGTAATAAACATATTGTTTTATTATCATTAAGTAAATTGTAAATCAGTGAACAGAATTACACACAATTTATTATCTATAGTAAATTACAATTGCTGTATAATATACAACATAGTCTCTCAATGAGTGCATTTCTGTGCATTTGCCCGCATTATAAGGCAACAGACTTTATAATAGGTTTATTGTTATCTTAATGCATTCAAATATGTCGTTATCAAATAATGAGAGTGGTGGATTGCATTATAGGCATGCTTGTGAATTTTTCAAAAAAGGAGTGGAATTTCACTCAAAAAAATTGATATAGCTATAAAGTGATTAAGGGATTATATCCAGGCACATAAAATCATGAGATGTTTACACTATAATACTTAGGGATTTCACTGAAATTTTCATATAAACATTTCATTTAGGCTAAATATTGAAATTTTGGGCTAAATTTTCATTAAAATGTGAAATCTTCATATGTTTTAAACTAGATACTTTTAATGTGGTGAAATATATAAACATCAAACTAATTAAAACACTTTTCATTTAAAATAATTACGAAAATTATTTTGGTTTTTTAAATATTTCAAATTAAGCAAAGATTCTTAAAGATTTTTCTATTTTACTTAAAGTATGAATTCTAATATTCTATACTACTATAATTTATAGGTAATGTATTGTAAACAAATGTAATGACATTTGTGATTAATGTTTGAAAATATACAAAAAATAATGTTTTGTTAAAAAAAATTTGAAAGCTTTTTTTGGAAGATGCGATTACCTGCTGTATATGTATAGTGAAGTACAGTCAGATCTAGATTACCTGATAATTTATTTTGTAAAGGTGCTTTAAAACACAAATTATTTTGTAAACCTTAACTTAGTATTTTAAATTGTGATTAAATTACAATTAAAACCAATAATTAATGCAAAATATGCATGTATTCTCATATTGTTGATCTTATATTGATTATAATAGAGTGAAGATAAAGATATAATCTCTATAGAATAAACTACAACAGGTAACTATTTACACATAACCGATAATCATACCATTCGACCCATACTTGAACTCGTGGTATCTGTTAAAATTACAACATAAATATGACATTTTATGGCAAACATAAACATTATGTAATATTTCGATTTGTACTGTAAATTGTTTATTTATGGCAAACAATAAAATGTTAGATTACTTACAAGTTATTAGTCATACATACATTTCAGTGCTGATCAGTAATCCATACAAAGAGATTAAATTATTATCAAATTTTTAATTTCGTATAAAAACGACCACCAGTTTTTGTTCACAGAGTAGTTGTGTTTTAAGCTAACTTAAATTGGAACAAAAAATAATTCTACTCCAATTAAACTAAAAATTAAAACTCATCAAAAAATTAATAACCATGTATAAACTGGGTGTTCGCGTACTATTGAGCATGGCATTTTTGGTATTTGCGACCAATTGTATTACCATTGGACAGTTTAACCAGACGTGGAATTGGCATAATGGTGATACGTTCTACAGATTTAACTGCTCGTATAAATTGGACACCCCAGGTGAAGCCTTTATCAATTTAACCTACAGTCTGGGAAATTCCACGTTTTACACACTTAAGTCCGATGGCACATATACAGGTGAGTTTTGCTAATAATTGATCTACATGTATTATCACGTCTATTTAACTATCATCATGATTTATATTACTGTACGCAAAAATACATTTACCAGTTAGTTAATGATCAAATATTAATTTTTATCTACCAATATAAATGTAGTGACCCCAGTTGCCGGCGTTGAGGGTGTAACATATGTGAAAGGTGCTGAAATAACCATCAGCAAATGGAAGCAGGGCAATTATAACTGCACAGTCAAATCGCTATATCCGGGCGGCAAAAGTACAGCCTATAAATCCGTTTACTTAAACTCCGGCCATAATATGGCAAACAATGTGTTCATAACCGCCGCTTTCGTCGCCCTCTCAACCGCTTTCGTAATTAAGTCGTGATTTGTTTTAATTATTTTTACTTATTTATTATCATTTATTTTATCATCAGTTCTTCATTTGTTATATTTATTTGTTTTATTTTTAATAAAATTATTTATTAAAAGTGTTGAGTGTTAGTTATTCTGTTATTATAAGTATATTGTAAAAATTGCCAATTTACAAATCACATTAATCTACATTAATTGCACATTAAATATAACATAACGATATGTCATAAATAAAATCGACCTTATGTAAACTTTTTATAAAGAATATTCAAACAATTTTATTTACAATTAAAATGTATAGAATACCACTTATATTTACAATAGGATATACTTAGAATTCAGTTGATAATATAGATAAAGGTATAAAAATAAATTGTTGTGATAGCCAGAAACGGCCGCGTTATGGCCATTGCGTATACGGCATATAGCAATGCAAAACTGATGATTAGCCCGAGCACTGTGTGAAACATCATTTTTCAATGTTATACGCCGTATACATGGGATCAAGTTTTCAATACTATTGTGTAATAAATATATTGTTTTATTAATAATTAAATAATAAATTATTATCATTAAGTGTATTGATAATCATCAGTGAACAGAATTGCACACAACTTATTATCTATAGTACAATTGTTGTATAACATATTATGTTGTATGCTTTATAATAAAGTACAGTTAGGTCTAGAGTACCTGATTATCAGGTCCTGATTATGTTTTTTAATGTGTGCTTTAAAACACATAATTATTTTTCAAACGTTAACTTAATATTTTTAATTTTGATAAGGTTAATATTAATACAAATAATTAATACAAAATATGCATATATTCTTGTATTATTGATTTTATATTGATTGCAATCGAGTAAAACTAAAGTTATAATCTCTACATATAATCTCTACATATAATCTTTACATAACTACAGGTACAACAGGTAACATGTTGGTACTTGAACTCGTGGTATGGTTTAAAATTACACCATAAATATGACATTTATGAAATATTACGATCTGTACTGTAAATTGTTTATTTATGGCTAACAATAAAAATATTAGTTTACTGACAGGTTGTCAGTCATTAGTCATATACTTCAGTACAGATCAGTAATCCATTCAAAGAAATTAAATTATTATTACATTTTTACAGTCCGTATAAAAAGACCACAAGTTTTTGTTCACAGAGTAGTTGTGTTTTAAACTAACAATTAAAATAAATAATAATTCTACTATAATTAAGCTAGAAAGTTATTATAGCTTGTCAAGAAACTTGTCAATTATATAAGAAACTTGCCAAAAATCAATCACCATGTATAATCAAGGTGTGCGCGTATTATTGAGCATGGCATTTTTGGTATTTGCGACCAACTGTGCTCACATAGTAAATTTTAACCCTATTTATAACTGGGTTAATGGCGACACATACTACAGATTTAACTGCACGTACAAATTGGACATGCCTGGTGAAGCATTTGGATCGTTATCATACAGTTTGGAAAATTCCACGTTTTACACAATTGATTACTTAGGAAATCATCAAGGTAAGTTTTTATAACAATTAATATATTGTTGTACACAAAAAATACATTGACCATTAAGTTAATTATCAAATATTAATTTGTATTGACCAATATGAATGTAGTGACCCCAGTTGCCGGCGTTGATGGTGTAACATATGTGAAAGGTGCTGAAATAACCATAAGCAAATGGAAACAGGGCAATTATAACTGCACAGTCAGATCGTCAATGCCAGGTGGCTTCGCTACAGTTAGAACATCCGTTTACTTAAACACCGGCCATAATATGGCAAACAATGTGTTCATAACCGCCGCTTTGGTCGCCCTCTCAACCGCTATCGTAATTAAGTCGTGATTTGTTTTTATTTCGATTCATTACTATATTTGTTCATATTTTATAAGTAGTTTTTCATTTGTTATATTTATTTATTTTATTTTAAATAAAATTATTTATTAGAAGTGTTAAGTGCAATTTTACTTTAAGTATATTGTAAAAATTACCAATTTACAGTATATATTTAACTTTTGGTGGGATTTATTTTATTCGGATAAAGGGTAAAGTTCAATGTTAATGGGTGCTGGGCCCAAAATTGTATATTAAAAAATTTTATTTTTTTTAATTTGCGAAATTAATTATCATCGTAAGCATAATTAAAATTGATATAACTGATGTTCGGTAATGACGTTATTCACTATAAAAAACGTACATAACTGATACTAAATATCGTAATTCTGATATAACTTTTATCTCTTATGTCAAATTTCAGAAATTCCTTCGGATTCCGATTCTACTCTTCAATACCTTTCTAGTGATATATAATATGACATGGTTATTTATAAAATAAAAGATTTGATTTTCAAAATCTTACCGATAAAAGTGGTCACTGCGGTCAAACCCGAGGTCACGTTACCATATAAAGTATACCACTAGATATTGTAGATTAAGTACTTTCAGCATGTAAAATATCTCTTGGGTGCAAGCGGTCCCACTTTTGAACATACCCCTTTATTTAGATTCATCTAAATCAGGAAATGCCATAAGACATGAATTAAGTGAACGTAGGTTTTGTGCTGTTTTGAGAGCAGTGTTAATTACATTTTATTTTAAAAACAACCCAACTTAATTTTATTCCATATAATAAATAACAATTATAATGATTATTGGCACACATAATCAATCTTGTGATGTAAAAATACATTTATTATACTAATGAATACAGCACGATATTTATCATACAGCAATAAAACATGTATTGTAAATTCTGTAATTACTAAATAGCTTTACTATTATAAAACAAATATTTAAACACACTACACTAAAAACACAAACAAAACTATAATTACAATTATAATTAATGAAAATTTACAAAGTGTGTCTTAAAATGTTAAACTATCATTTATTAGCTATAATAACATTATTCTTAGTGAATGGATGTATTGGTTTAGATGCGGACACATTCAGCTATGAACAAACCTCAACCATACCGGTTATCTTGCAATTCAATTACGGTTATTATGTTAATTATTTGAAGGACTTATCGCACGTTATTATGACCAAAGATGGTGAAACATTTCTAAGGATATACCCTCAGTGGCCACATTGTAAGCAACCTTTGTTAATTTTGTTATTGATAGCTTGATCATTTATTTATGATTGTAATCTAATAAAATGACACCAATTAGCCCCTGTGCTCAGTCCAGTGAAGGGACTGACGGCACTCGATGTGGACATATCTACTTATAAAGAGGATAAGTTGATCATCACATACGCCAACACCACTACATCGGGTCTATATGTATGTAAAGTACACTATAAAAAGGACGGAACTGTTGTAACAAATCGACAACAATTTGAGCTAAAAATTGCTGAAAATAAAGGTAATTTTAGTTGTAAATTTAAGTTATTTACATTTTATAAATAATATCTAATGTCATGATTGTATCATAATCCGGAATAGTGCCTGTTACATTTCAAATTGAAAACTCAACCAAGCATAATTACTTCA